AGGCTCCGCCCCCCTCTGTTTTTTATTTTAAAAGTTCTTTCTGAAACTTTTTGTTAGCTGGATGTTGTCTTGACCCTTCAGTTTTCATTCCTATAATTGATCTCTTCATCTTTGTACTTTACCTTCTGGAAGATTTTCTCAGCTTTCTCTTCCAGTGTTTATAATTTCTAGTCTCCTTATATTGTCCTCAAATTGTTCCTTTTTAAAAAGGTTTTCATAATACTGTCTATTCTTGTTTGGTATTTGCAGTCTATTCACCCGTCCCTCTGAGGATTTAATTACAAACTGGGTTCTCTGTCCTGAGCCGGCACTGCTTCCCCCTATTCTCTGTGCTTCCTTCAAGCTCCCTTTTTTCTATTTTGGGCCCTTCTGTCATGTCTGAGCCTGTCCCCAGTGCCTGGTGACCCTTTGTTGTGGGTTGAGATTTAAGATGGAGGCACCAGCTCATGGGCTGGAGCCCTGTGGGTGGGGGGCCTGCTGGCTGGTGTGCTACACAGTGGGGCGACGAGCAGGGAGCTGGCTCAGGGATCATGGGCTGGTCCACCCTGGCACTCTCCATAGACAAAGCCCTCAGTGTCCAGTGTTCAGGGGAGGCGGCTGGAAGCAAGAAGGAGGGTAAGCACGGGTGGCGGGGAGGGGCCTGCCATTGCCATTCAGTGTGCACGCATGGTTACTCAGTTACCCTCGTTTCCACTCTGAATTGCACCTCCTCCCCCACCTCCTGCCGACCTCCAACCTCCTTCCCCACCTGCCGGTGTTCTAGAGTCCTGAGCCCGTGCTGGGTTCCTTTCTGCAGAAAATACACCTGAAACGGGGGTGGGCACCTGGGAGTCTAACCACTTTGTTTATGAACTTGTTTCAGTCCACCCAGTTCAGCCCTAAACTTGCGCTTGCTCCCCCGCCCCTACCCCAGTGGTGTCTGGTGATTCTGGATCCTCGGCCTCTGCTCAGTATCAGCTCCCATGGGCCCCTTAGGCCACAACCCCTCCACTGGCTAAATCCCTTGCCTTCCGCCTTCCGCAGCGCCAGGCCTTTGTGCTGCTTCTCCCATTTCGCTCTTCATTGTGGAGGCTTCTGCACTCTCCATTTGACTGTTGGTTTAGAAGAATCCTGGCAGGAAGAGAGAGAAACCATGTGTACAGTCCTCCACTGCCTAGCCCCAGGGCCCTCCTGCTCCCCCTGAGAGGCGGCTCCTACTCCCGGGGAAGAAATGCTAGGAGAGAGGTTGTGAGAATGTGTGAGTGTGAGTGTGCAAGAGCATATGCGTGCGTGCACGTGTGCACACGTGTATGTGAGGCCCTGTAACAGACTCTGAAGCTTCTGCAGTCAGCAGACATCGAATTGTCTTGGGAACAAGGCGGCAAACACACAAGATAACCAAAAGAGTAGGTGGCCTCCGTGCTGAAATGGCTGTGTGCCTCAGAGTGGTGATTTTGAAGGGGATTCACTCAGCTCAATGGATTAAATCCCGGAAATTTCATTTGAAAAACTTCCCATGACCTTACTCGGGTAGCTGGCAGGGTATGTGGCTTTCACACTGCCCTGATTGCAGAGTGGACTCATTCATTTATCCTTTCAACAAGGTTTGATGGAACCCATCCGTGTCAGGCATTGTGCTTGGCACAGGGGGTAAAATGGCAAGCAGAACAGGCACTGCCGTTGTCCTTGTGAAGCTTATAGTCCAGGGTGGGATAGCAGGGGGAGGGCAGATGTTCCTCGTACAAGTATATCATTTGTGTTTGGAAAGACCAGATTTGGTCCCAGAGATTGGCGCTGAGCCCCAGGACAACTGAGGACTTTTTGAACCCTGATGTGGCCTGACATCACTTTCAAGGCTTGGTTCGCCGGAGCAGATGCCCTCTTTTTTGGTTTAAAAACATTAGCACTGTCTTTGGAGTGCTCATGCACTAAGGCGGGCACTTCGCATGTTCGTGGTCTCCTGTGTCCCTGGCAGTGATGCCCGCAGGGAAAGGCAGCGTGTCCACTTTGCAGAGGAGGACAGGACTGGTTTAAGCTATTGGGTCTCAAGTTCAGGTCCACCTCTGAATTCCATGCTGCTCTTGCTGCACGCAAAGCATTTGGTCCTCTACCCCACACCCCACCTCCCCACAGCTTCCTGATGCTGGGACCTGAGGCTGACTGCTGAGTTTGTAAGCTTCTGCAGCGCCACCAGGAGGGCGTGGGCACTGCCAGGTAGACCCTGCCTTGAGTCAGGTATGAGGGCTCCTCTTGGCACTGTGACTTCAGCCCATAGATAGATCATTTATCTTGCAGATCATTAGCTCTCCTGACTTGGGATGGGAAGAATTTAGGTTATTAGGCACCTTTATGTGACTGGGTTGGGGAGAAGCCTCTGGGTACATCTTGTTGACGTAGGGAAGACAGGCCAGAAATACCTTCCTTGTTCCACCAGGGCCGCCTTCCGAGTGCTCTCAAGGAGCCAGGAACTCACATCTCACTCCTCATCCAGTACCTGGTCCTGTGGGTCCCTGAACCATCCAGACCTCCGGGACTGTTCCAGAGCCCTTCTCTGCCCAACACCGCCTTCCTTGGAGGTTAGGGGAGGTTCTCTCCCTCTCTCTCTCATTCTTCCCACCTTACCTCCCTGGGCCCCTCATTATACCTTTACACATTTCCACCTCATTGCAAATGAGTTGTGGCCCAGGTCAAAGCTGGGCCTTTGGTCATCCTTTTTCAATGCTTCGCAGACAAGGACTGGGGGGCTCTAACTGCCCAAACAGTGAAACGCGGGCTCAAACAGAGGGGCCCACACTGCCAGCTTCCCCCATTACATTTTCATTTCTCACTCCGAAAAAGGACAGCTCTAGCAGTGTGGTGGGTGGGGAGAACCATCACTGGCAAGTCCTGGAGACCTTTCTAGCCTTAGGTTAGAATGCACACCACCCCTCCGTGGCATTTCCAGATATCCAAACAAGCCCTTCTAGACTCCCTTGTCTCTTGGAAGGTTAAAGACACAGCTCCCTCTCTTCCAAGGCAGCTTGTGGCTCCACAGCCTTGGAGTGTCCTGCAGACAGTTTCTGTTTTTGAAGGTTTTTTAGAAAGTATGCATTTATTATAGAGAGATCACGTAGGTCCCCTTATTCCCTTTGTTTAGAGCATCTTTTATTTTTACATTTTAGTGGTTCTGAAATTGGGATGCATCTTAAAACAGATGCATGTGTTTGGATATGGTACTATGCCTTTTTTGTGTGAAGGGGTGTTCCCCAAATGACTGCATCCTAGAATTGAGGAAATCCAGTAAAAAGTGCATTGGGAGACAAAAATCTTTCAAAACATGGAATCCATGCGAGAAAATGAGCATACAGGGTCCTTGGTATGTAGGAGCTGGGACCACTGCCTTAAATCTCATGTTTCCCGAGAAACTGTATGTGTGACCATTATGGGAAAAAATGCTCACAAGGCCTGACCCCCATTCCATCCTGTTTCTATCTGTGGGGGTGACATACTTGGAGCAAATAGTTCCTAAAATTATCCCCATACCATTCCTCCTTCAGCTTTCAGGTCAAATATATTTGCATCTTTATCATAAGGGCCTTTCTTTTCCTGTTGTTATATTTGCTAATTTACAATTGTTTGGTTTGAAAAACAAGGATTTTTTTTTTTCTTTTGCCTCCTGGCCTTTTAGTTTTTCTGAGGCAACCTCAGAGAGCGTGGCTGTGGTGGGCTCCAGGAATGTCCTGGGGAGCCTGAGCCCACTGGGCTGGGGTCCTGGCTCCCGCCTCTGCCTTGAGCGTGTGACAGGCAGAGGCCATCCGTGTGCCGTGGGGCCCGCGTAGAGCCTGCAGTCAGTGTGCAGGATGGGGCTGAATCAGGGCAGTTTTGTGTGAAGAATGGAGGCACTTCCAGCAGTTTGTCAGGATGGGCAGGAGCTTGTCAGGTCAAGGACGATCCCAAAGTCTAAAGCTCAAAAGGACAACCCAGAAGGAGTCAGAAAGTGAACTGCTCAGAGACCTCCTGCAGAGTTTATCCCAAAATGGTCGCTGCTCCTCAGTCTTCCTGGATGCTCCCCTTTGCGGTGCTTGAAGGAAGGTGTGCAAGGTTGATTCATACTCTCACAGGGAGGCTGAGTCGGAAAGCAGACCAAGCCCTGACCAGCGATTCACAGAGCAGTCTGGAAAGAAACAGGAAGAAAGCACCACCTTCTTCTAGCCTTCTCCTCCTCCTCTCCATCTCCTTTGCACTCTCTCCCACAAAGCCTGGTCTTTCATGTCAATATCCCCCAGCCCAGCCCCAGTCTAGGTCACAGGGGCTTCGATACTCAGCTCAAGTCTGGCTGGCGTCATTCTCAGACACTTCCTAGTAGAGAATTTCTACAGCTACAGATGAGAAAATGACTTCTTATTGAGACTAGAAACAGAGAACCCAGTGAGTCTTGTTTTGTTTTTCTATATCCCGATCCAGTTTCTGACTTTGAACACCACTCTCAGGCTTGTACCGAGAGGACGCAGGGTGGAGTGAAATGTCTCCGCCCTCCCTCCCACCCAGCCCTGAGGAGAATCCCATTGACTGAAGCACCCAGCTGGCCCCAGGGCCCTAGAGCAGGAGGCTGTGTCACCCTCTCCACAGGCAGCGCCCCCACAGGTGGCTCATCACACCCACTGGGCTCCTTTCTTCACCCTGCACCATCCCCCCCACCGCCCCCAAGTAAGTGGTAAAAGCCACTTAATGTGCTGACTTAGCCAATCCCTTTTTGGTCCATTACGACAAAAGTTGCTCTTTTCTCATTAGAGCCATTTCTGTCAGGGTGTCTTTAATCAATGGCTTCCCCAGGGACAATATTTTTAGAAGTTGTATTTTTCACACTCTCCCTTTTCCCCTTTTGGAAAATCTCATCCCAGTGCCTAGTGAAATGAACTAATGAGATGCCGGGAGATCCCAGGCTGGTGTTAATTGGAACAGGCACGAAAGAAGTGGCCCACGCACACCTTCGGTTCCTTCCTGCCTTACCTGCGATCCTTTTCTCTGTCTTTCCGGTGTAGGTTGCACAGACAGCAGATGGTGTGGATGCTGACCTCTGGAAAGACGGCTTATTTAAATCCAAGGTTACCAGATACCTGTGTTTCACAAGATCATTTTCCAAAGAAAATGTAAGTCTAGTTGTAGTTTCCATTTGCTGAGTGAGCACAAGTAATTTACATTCCTGTTTGGAATTTCCTCATTTTGTTGTTGTTGTGGTTTATTTTCATTGCCATATGAATTTATCTGTGGTTTTAGTGAACTGGGTAGAATCGGCAGCCAGCACTGTGTTTCATTTATTAACAGTATTATTAACCACGTACCCAAGTGTACCGTGAATTCCATTCAATTGTGTTCTCAAAAGGAAACCAGGAAATTTCTCTCCCAGCTCTCATTTGCCTACCTTTCCTCCAAGCAACAAATCACAGGATAGTGCGGCAGTGAGAATTCTCCGGTGGCGCGGGATTTAACGCTGGCCAGCAAAGGCAGCCTGGCTCAGGGAGGGTCCCTGTGACCCCACCCCATCCACAGACATCATGCCTTTGCTTCCACAGTGACGTTTCCTCTCTGAGTCTCTGTGTGACATATTGCATTTCATTATTTTTGTAGGTAAGTATCCACTCATGCAGATTTCTCTTACTATGGTTTTTTTTTTTTTTTTAAAGTACTCGCACCTGTAAATTAGGAAACTTTAAAGACACCTACTAAGGTTTTTTTTTTTTTTTTTTTTTTAACATCTAATAAGGTATTTTAATAGATGGCTTAGAAAAAAAGGAAATAGTTTTGGTGAGTATCTACTCTGTACAAGGCCTGCCCTGGGCACCTCATTCTGTCCCCAGATAATCTCTACAAGTGGAAGTTCCTTTCCATTGAAGAAACCGAGATCCAAGAGGTGACGTGCTTGTTCGAGGTTACTTCTCTTCCCCAGCCCCAAATAGGGAGGAGTTGGGATTTTCATTTTCAGGGCTAACATTTTATTTTTGGCCACATGTTATTGTCTCTTTGTCATGTAAATTTTATTTTGGGGAATATTTTTATTGATTTATTTATATAAATTATATTATAAAAGTAATATTTATTTGCAGTTAAAAAAAAAACTGAACCCAGACAAAAAACATACTCATTCAACAGCATGAAAGGGGGAAAGCGTTAGTCCTCCTCTCTGCCACCTGGCCCCGCAGGCCCAGGGTCCCATCACAGGGTCCTTGCGTGTCCCCTTGGTGTTTTCTGAATGTCGACCATCATGTGGCTCTCCAGCTTGTACTCTTTTCTGCCACCTATTCCTGTTGTTTGTGGTTAATTCTTGGGTAGGAGAATTATTCTGAACAGGACTGGGAGAAAAGTCGTTGCTTTATTTTTTTCCCCTAATCACAAGAGCAATATATGCTCGTCGTAAAGTACAGAGTTTATAATGGAGTCAGGGAAGATCTTGACACAAAAGTCTGGAAGTCTTTTCAGTTCAGGCTTTTGAGTGTATTTTAAATACCAGGAAGGTGGCAGGGCTAAAGAGCGGACAAGGGCACTGCGAGCTTATAATGAGTCCCTGCAGGTCCCCCAGCTCACTGAGCAGCCTGAGGCACCCAGGAGAGGGCTGAAGGCTGAGTAGAGGCTTCAGTTAAAAATGAATAGAGGCCGAAGAGGCCTCAGTTAAAACTGGCCTGAGGACAGCCATGATCTCTGTGATCATTTTTTGTTTTTGTTTTCATTGCATGAAATCAAAAACACTATGGGGTATTGGTACCTGGGCTAGCAGAGTCCCTGCATCCCTTGGAGTAGGGACAGTGACAGGTCTGAATGTGACAAAGAGAAGTCACTGGGGCTTGTTAGCATTGAGTGTCATGGGTAAGCGTATTAAGGAAAACCCATTGATTTTGTCAACATGTGTTGAACATTAAAAAGATTTTTCTTGGGTGTGATGAAGGGATGTAAGAAGAGGACAAGGGCAGTGTGAAAAGCCTCTATCTCGCTTTCGAAGCAGTGTAGGAGATAGGTGCATGGTGCATACTGTTTTTGGAAAAAGACTGAATGGATCCAATAGTGGGATCCAAACGATCGAGTTCCAGCAGTTGGCAGGGGCCTACCTGCCAGCTCAGGAGTGGAGGAGGAATCGGAATATTTTAATCTGTTACAGCCAGTCTGTGCTGGCCCTGTAGTCCAAACCAAGACTTTGCAGAGCATCATTTTTTACAGCTGTAAAGGAGGGATGTGGGATCTCAAGACTGGACAGATTCTTAATTAGGTGACTTGAGACTCCCAATGTAGGAGTTTTGGGAGACTCCTTTGGAACCTAAATTCCTTTCCCCCAATAATGCTATTAATACAGAAACCTGGCTTTGGAGTGACATTGCTTCCTGGGGAAGGATCGAGATTAATTGCACTTTTCATGCCCTGTACTTTCTGCATTACCTGTAATAATAATGTACATAGATTAGGTAGGGAGGATATTAAACAGAAGGATTTATGAACATTTGAATATTAAGTTGGTTATCTGTGGCTACCTTAAATGCAAGGTTGTCAAAAATAATTACAGTATACTGGCAAATACTGGCTACCAGAGACAATATAAATACCCTGAGTCAGTGCATATTGGGCTTTTGGCATGAATCATTTGCTCAACAAGGATTGGGAATACGTTCTTCATATTTATGAGGAGGAAATGAAAGAGAGCACAGATGGGGGAGGGGAGAGGAACAGGCAAAATTAATGGTGTCGCAGACCCACTGTATTAAACCCAGTACAGTGGCAGCCCCGTGTAAGGAGCGACCACACTTGGGCCGTGGAGAGCTCTGACAGTGCAGCCTCCCATTTTGTATGCATGCAAGGTTTTTTTATGCTTTGTTTTTAATGGCCACACCACTGATGTTCAGGTTTTATGATCAGGGACATTTGTAGAGTGTGTGGAGGGTGAGGTCACTAAGTGGTTTGCAGTTGACTTCTGTAAAACCCAACTTGTCAAGTAGAAGACATTTGAGAAGGATATTGATGAATGCCCATCCATCTGCGGGGCAGGAAAACATGCCTAGTTGTTAATTTCTCAATGCAGAAAGCAGTGATGACATGGAAAAGCAACTGCCATGAAAAAAAATTATGATAGATTAGACCAGGCAATTCTGAAAGCAGCTGATGTTTGCAAGTTAGGTTAACAGTTCAAACCCTTCCTACACGGTCAGAGATTTATTCTGTGTTCTGAGGGTCCCACTTACCACTCCCTAGCCTGCACTGTACATTGCCTTCCTGAGGCCCAGCTACCTGGAATATCAGAATATCAAATTGTTGGCAAATGTGATAGTTCTGAGAGGAAGAAACGATTTCCTGATGACTGTGCCATAAAAACACTAGTCGTAGGTTACACTTGCTACTTTTAATCATATAGTTTAGATTTGACATCTCAGCAAACCCAACTTGATATATGTGTATGTGTTTGTGTGTGTGTATATATATGTATACACACACACACACACACATATGAAACGAAGTCTCCCTGTCAGCCAGACTGGAGTGCAATGGCACAATCTCAGTTCACTGCAGCCTCCACCTCCTGGGTTCAAGTAATTCTCCTACCTCAGCCTCCCAAGTAACTGGGACTATAGGCACCTACCACCACACCCAGCTAATTTTTGTATTTTTTAAAGTAGAGACAGGGTTTCACCATGTTGCTCAGGCTGGTATCAAACTTCTGACTTCAAATGATCCACCTGCCTCGGCCTCCCAAAGTGCTAGGATTACAGGCATGAGCCACCATGCCTGGCCGATTTTTTTTTGTTGTTTTTTTTTTGAGACAGTGTCTCACTCTATTGCCCAGGCTGAAGTACAGTGACATGATCTTGGCTCACTGCAGCCTCAACCTCCCAGGCTCCAACAATCCTCCTACTTCAGTTTTCTGAGTAGCTGGGACAACATGCATGAGTGCCACCACACCCAGTCAATTTTTTTAATTTGTAGAGATGGGGTTTCGCCACGTTTCCCAGGCTTGTCTCAAACTCCTGAACTCAAGCTACCCACCCGCTTTGGCCTCCCAAAGTGTTGGGATTACAGGCATGAGCAACAGCACCCGGACTCCAGTTTGATTTCTGACTCTGAGTGGCCCGGTTGAAAAATGTGTACCCGAAATTAATTTATTCAGCAAGTAATTACTGAGCACCTGTTGTGTGGCAAAATCCATGCTAGGCTTGTATTTATAGTAGGAACAGAGATAGTTTTGGTCTTCATGGTTCTTAAACTCTAGAAGCAAGACAGATATTAAGAAAATAACCCCACAAATTGATAAGGAGGGAAAAAGAGAGTGCCAAGAGGGAACATACACAGTTTAGATGATAAGAACTCCCTGCTTGGCTTTCAGAGACATGGCACAGTGCAGGTAAAGGTGGAATCTTGGCTCCCATGTGCAGAGATGGAGGTAGCAGCCCTTCTTCTCTAAGCAAGATGGAACAACAGCCTCAGAAGTTGCTGTCCAGGGCAGAGTGATGGCTGACCAACTAGATGCTTGTCCAAGGATGCTGAACAAGTAAACGGAGAGCATGCTCACACTGGGCTTTGGGGATGAGGCACTTCTGCAAAATGGGCACGTGAAGTGCATTGCTAGTATCCTAACAGGAGAGATTTGGGATTTGAGCCCATCATTCTTTCCTTAACTGGCTCTGACTAGAGAGGGGGAACCAAGCTGCAAATTACTCTGAAGATTTTAATGAAATCTCCAAAGTGCCCCCACATATTTAAGTTGTAGGGTAGATATCTTTAGAGCTCATTTCCAGCTTGAAATGCGCGCTGCAAGTGCCGGCGTGTTTGCAAAGAATTCTCTCTCGCAATTACAGAATGTGTACTGTCTTCGAAAGATATTTGTACACCAGTTACAGAAACTGCGCACTGTGGACCCCATATACTACCACTAAATAGAAACTTTAGGAGGCCCTTGTGCATGTCATTTCAGAAGACGTGTAATATTGAGGCAGCAGGACTTTCGCTCTGTGTTAGTTTATGATTCTTGGGATTTTATAAAATGTATCTAGCAACTGAAATGTGTGTCAGTATGCAGACTGGTGATCATTTAGAAGTGTGATTGGTTCCCTATTAGGTTTAGATGCATCTCTGTCCTACGAGTGCCTCAGGAATTTGCTCTTCCTAAAACCTCCTGGCCTTGAGATCTGATGCTCAGGGCTGAGTGGCAGCCTGGTCCCGGGACGTGTGTGCACAGCTGCCCTCTGCTGGGTTATGTCTAAAGCATCTCCTGGGTTGCTCCTGCCTCACCAAGGCTGTGTCTGAGTGAGTGGCTTTGAGGTTCTGCAGATAAAACTCCTTCCTGGGGGCCGCACGAGTCCCTCTGTAACCACTGGGGAACATTAAGTGTCACCTACTCTAATTAACCTGCTGTCATAAAGCTGCACGAGTCATTGTGTTAAATATGCATCTTGAAGCCAAAATGGCAAAGCCACCACAGGCATGTTCAGATTAATAGTCTGTATCTCTTTTCTTTCTTCCCAAGAGTCATCTGGGGAACGTGTTAGTAGATATGAAGCTCATTGACATCAAGGACACACTGCCTGTGGGCTTCATCCCAATTCAGGAGACAGTGGACACACGTGAGTCATCCTTTGGTAGCACTCATCACAATGAGGGTTTTCTTCCTCCAGATATATTTCTAGGTGTTTTTTTATGTGCATTTTTCTTCAGAAACATTTTCGGAGGTCTTACTGCAGGCCCATGAACAAACCCTGCTGCTTTTGATGTGTGTCTGGCTGGGTTCTCCAAGGAGTTTGCAGAGGATTCTGGGTAGCGGCATGTAAATGAGCAGAACGTCCCTTTCTTTTAGAATGGTGGTCCCTGCTGAATGGACTCACTGGGGAACGGAATGGTGCAACTGGATATAGTTTGTCTTTAGTCCTTCCTCTGGTGTTGCTGAAGCCAAGCTTGGCACAAGACCCAGAAGGAAGCAGAAAGAAAACAATCAAAAGACGCCCAGAGAACACAAAGCCAATAATGTGCCCATTTGGGGCCCACAGAGCAAACAAGAAAAGTGAGAATCAAAAGGCTGCAAATTAAAATTCATAGGTTCGAATTGGACTGAATATTCTGACCACTGAGCAGGTCCAAGCAGAAGTGAATCACTGAGGAATCGGCAGCGTCTTCAGGGTGCTAGAGCCCTTGGAGCTTCTTGACCCACACATGAGTTATTAAATGGTGCTGGAAAACCTCTGGCGATTTGGCTTCCTTGTTCTGGTGTAATTTAACTTACTTGTTTCATTTTTAATCACTGGTCAGCCAACTTTATGATATCTACAACAGTGAAGTAGTGAATACAAAACAAATACAGAGAATCCTTTCATTATGACTCAGGGTGTGTTTATTAAATTCTCTGTCTCATTTTCTGTCTCATACTTTATTCTCTCATAATTAGCCCACATCGGTCCCACTATTTTTTGCTATTTTCTTGCTAGCACTTCATATGATATGAACTAGAGTTTCTGTCTCTACACAGATCCCACCTAACTGTTATTTTCATGAAACCAGCAGACCCCATTGTATAGCATATTTTTATTTTCGTGATGGTCTCTTCACGTTTAGTCATTGGATTGCTTTTTGTCATTTATGATTTTGTGTATTACCTGATAATCATAAGAGCTGATACTTAGTGTGCATTTACTGCATGCTCACCCCTGTGATAAATGCTTTACCTCCCTGATTTCATTTACTCTTCAGAAGACCCCTCTTGTGAGACGGGCATTATTATACCCATTTCAGATATGAGAAAAATGAAGCACACTCACTCCTTAGGTATTAAAGAACTTAGCCAAGGTCACGCGTCTGGAACTGGAGGAATAACTAGAATGCTCACATACATCTTACTCCAGCTACACTTTTTTTTTTTTTTGAGATGGAGTCTCACTCTGCCGCCCAGGCTGGAGTGCAGTGACTGGATCTCAGCTCACTGCAAGCTCCGCCTCCTGGATTTATGCCATTCTCCTGCCTCAGCCTCCCAAGTAGCTGGGACTACAGGCGCCTGCCACATCGCCGGCTAGTTTTTTGTATTTTTTAGTAGAGACGGGGATTCACCGTGTTAGTCAGGATGGTCTCGATCTCCTGACCTCATGATCCGCCTGTCTCGGCCTCCCAAAGTGCTGGGATTACAGGCTTGAGCCACCGTGCCCGGCCTCCAGTTACACTTTTAACCACAGCACCACACTGGAAGAGCCTGTGTATAAGCACATTTTACAGATATGTTTTATATTAATGTATAGGGTTTTAAAAAATTAAGATATAACTCACTTACCATGCAATTCATCCATTGAACATGCACAGTTCAGTGACCTTTAGTAAAGGCAGAGTTGTGCAACCATTATTGCACATTATATCACCCCCAAAACCCATTGTCAGGATAGCACCCCTGTACCCCTCAGCAATCACTCCCTTATTTCTCTCCAACCCTCACCTCCCCACTCCCTACCAGCCCTAGACAACCACTGATCTACTTTCTATATAGATTTGCCTATTCTGGACATTTCATATGAATGGAATCCTACAGTGTGTGGTCTTTTGTGACCAGCTTCTCTCTCTTAGCATAATGTTTTCAAGGTTGGCCCATGTTGCAGGATAGATCATTACTTCATTCCTTCTTATTGCCAAATACAACATATGGATATACCACATTTTGGTTATCCATTGAACTGATGGATATCTGGGTTGTTCATACTTTTTGGCCGTTAGGAATGAGGCTGCTATGAACATTCGTGTACAAGTTTTCGTGTGGGCTTATGTTTTCATTTCTATTGGGTATCTACCTAGTCATGGAATTGCTGGATCACATGGTAACTTGATATTTTTGAGGAACTACCAAATGGTATTTCAAAGGAGCTGCACCGTTTTTTCTTCCCACCAGCAGTGTCCGTAGATTCCAATTCCTCCACATCTTCAGCAGCACTTTGTTATTGTCTGTCTTTTTGATTCTAGGCCCCTTAGTGGGTATGAAATGGAATCTCCTTGTGCTTTCCGTTTGCCCTTGTCTGATGGCAAATGACGTTGAGCATCTTTTTATGTGCTTGTTGGCCATTTGCGTTATCTCCTCTGCTTAGGATCTACAGTCTTCTCAAAGACTTAGGTCACTTTCCTCCTTTTCCCCTGTGTTTTTCACAGTTTTAAAATTTGCATTGGTGTTCATTTTTTGACAGTGAGTTGACTTCGAATGTCTTTATATTGATGTGCCGTGGAGCCGCAACGGGTTTTCCATTCTGCATTTTCCTCTCGGTTAGTTGGACCAGTTCACTGAGGCTCTGTCCTGTCTGGACTTGGGGACCAGCGGCTGTGGGGCCCAGGGGTCTTGGTTGGGAAGTCTCTCCCCTGTGACTGGGAGTGCACAGGTTGCTGCCCCAAGTGTGGACTCTGAGATCGGTCCTGGGCCCAATGCCAGGTGCCTTGTCACACAGGAGGGTGAGCAGCAGGGAGCCTCTTCATGTCTGGTTCCAGCAACATTTCCTGGAGGCTTTACCTGGGGGACAGAGGAGCCCAAGCTGACCATATAAGCCTTACGGTCAGCTCTGTATCATTTGAGAGTATTCAAGGCCCTGATTTTATAAAGTCAGCCAAAAACAGGAGACTCCTGTAATTCATTTAAAATATAGTTTGCTGTAATCCATATAGCACTGAAAAACTGGAAGACTGTTTGTTTTAGTAAAGTACTGTGTACTTTCTCTGTGTTCATTAGCATGACTGAACACATTTCTATTGACTATGTATAATATGTTTACTTAAAATTAGGCCTGCTTAAGCATGTGTAATTAGTGGCTCCATCTCTTACCCCGAGTTTGCTGCAGACGGAGGAATGGAGCCAAGAGCAGCGTGGCAACAGCAAGTGAAACACCCGGCGTTAGTTTTCTTTGTGTAAAGGTCTCATCTTCTTCACACCTTCTAAGGCCAATCTGATCAGCTGATAATCTTTGAAGGTGCAGAGTTACTGTGAACAGCGCCCCCCATTCCCCAGGTTGCCGTCCCAAGTGTGGACTCTGAGGTTGGGTCTTGTCACACAGGAGGGTGGGCAGCAGGGGCCTCTTCATTTCCAGTACTAGGTTCATTTCCTAGATGTTTAGCAATGTTTAGGGTCTGGATTCAGAACGTTGTTTCTCTCCGCTGGTAGATCTGCTCTAGCCCTCAGTTTCTGTGCCTGAGGAACGCACAAAGTTATCTGACTCTTTAAAAAATGACCCTACCCCCCTAAAAATATAATAACAAAAACAATTCCACTGATTTTCTTGTCCCCCTCCCCACTCCTGGCCCCTATAAGAACCCCCGGACAGGGCTGTACTTCCCCTCATTCTGTTCCTCGATTTGAATGTGCTGTTGAATGTCTTACTTCCTACCACAGAATTGCAAGGTCTTGAAACCCAATACCAAGTACGGGCATAAATTACACGCTAGAGGCTTACTTGCCAATAATGACAGTAAGATCCCACACAGCTGTTCTTTACTGAGCACTTACTGTGTGCCAGGCACTGGGCTAGGTGGATCATACGTGTTGGCACAGTGCATCCAACCCACATCCCTGCGGGGTGGGTTTCATTAACTCCCTTTTACAATTTACCAAGACTCAGAGAAATTAAGTAACTTGCCTAAGGTCACAGTGCCAGAAAATGTTGGTGTTGGGATTTCAACCCAGGTCTGTCTGACTCGTGTATTAAATGGCTGCAGTTAGTTGAAACTCAGCCTTAAAAGCACAAACACACACACACCTCCCGTTGGTCAGCACTGGAGGTTGCTCAAGCACCAACTCCTTACTCTAAGGCTTGATAAGTAAGAGAAAAGAATCATGTGCTTATCCTTTTTTTTCCTATACAAAATTTATTTCAGGGAGACCAAATAGTTGATGAAGGAAAGTTATTTTTTATATATAGAAGGATTCTAGCTAAAAAATGCAGAAGGAGGCTGGGCGCGGTGACTCACGCCTATAATCCCAGCACTTTGGGAGGCCAAGGTGGGTGGGTCATGAGGTCAGGAGTTTGAGACCAGCCTGACCAACATGGTGAAACCCCATCTCTACTAAAAATACAAAAATGAGCCAGGCATGGTGGCACGCATCTGTAATCCCAGCTACTCAGGAGGCCAAGGCAGGAGAATCACTCAAACCCGGCAGGTGGAGGTTGCAGTGAGCCAAGATCATGCCACTGCTCTCCAGCTTGGGTGACAGAATAAGACTCCATCTCAAAAAAAAAAAAAAAGAAAAAAAGCAGAAGGAATGACAGAGTTCAAAAATCACCATTGTGAACCTTTAATAAAGCATGGATCTTAGCAACAGTCATCAGAGGGTGACAGAGTACTCAGAGGATGGCAGTTGGGGAACTGTATGACCGAGGGCCCAGGCCGACACCAGCAGAGCTCAGCAAGAATGGCCCAGCCAGACTCCGGGCCTCACCATATGACAGCCTAGACTTACACGTGCCCCAGGACAGCGTGTGCATCTAAAAAAACCTAACCTGAGTCTAATCAAGGCTTTAGCTCTGTCAGTCTACAGGAGGCACAGGGGAATGACCCGATTTCTCCAACCTGTCAGTGCCCTGAAGAAAAGGGAGCAGGAGTGGTTGCTCCAGAGTCAAATGGTCTGGGAGGCCTGACACCCAAAGGCAGTGCCTCAGCATCCTGGGGATCCGGATGCAGACAGACTGGAGAAAACGTGAATGTAGACTCTCTATTGGATGATACTCAGGAATTCTGTTCGTTTTGTTAGGAATGGTGATGGCATGGTGGTCTTTAAAGAACAGTGATCTAGATGCCTACTGAGGTATTGATGGCGACATGACATGGTGTCGTCAGGGATTCATTTTAAATATCCAACAAAGTTGCAGGGGTGGGAGGAGAGGAAACCAGCTTGTCCGTTGTGCACAGCATTGACACTGGGTGATGGGAACACGTGGATTCATTCCGCTGTTCTCTCTGCTTTGGGGTATGTTTGAAGATTTCTATGATAAAAAGCAGAAAAGAAAAGAAGTCCATGTGGTGAAATGTGTTAATGCTCAGGGCATCAGCGTGCAGGTTTCTGATGGCTGAGCAGTGAGCAGATTGTGGTTGCGGCTCTTAGAAGCCACCCGGATTTACTGCAGGGTGTGCAGTCCCCTTCTCAGCAGGGGGTGTCTGGGTTGAGTCCTGCATGCAGAGCAGGGTGACTGCAGCCCCAGGGAAGGCAGGCGGCAGAGCCCAGCCCTTCTGTCTAGCAGCTTAGGTGACCTGCCACTTCTGCTGCCAGGAACAGGGTGTGACAAGGGATGTGGTTTTCAGAATAGAGATGGTGGTATCTCTGGAAAACTCATACCTTTTCTGTTGTCCTTTCCTTCAGAGGAAGTGGCTTTTAGGAAGAAGAGGCTGTGCATTAAATTTATTCCACGGGATTCAACGGAAGCTGCAATTTGTGACATTCGGATCATGGGCCGGACCAAGCAGGCCCCACCTCAGTACACGTTTATCGGGTGAGTCTTAATGACAGGACTCTCAGCTGCTACTCTTTCATGAGAGCGCTCAGGCCACTCCAGGCAATGAGGTCCCAGAGATTTCCATGTGGCCCCCAGGCGCTCAGCCATGGGCCTCTGTCAGCCCAGTGCTCCTCACTGCCCTTCCTGCTCAGCTGCAGCCTCTCTGCACCTGGGCTCGCACTGCTGACTCTACCTTAGGGCCTTTCCCCCCCTGCCCTTCTGCGCATTCAGCCATGAAGCTCCTCTGGGTCCTTCCCCGACACCCTGTGATGCCACCAGCCTCAGCTCTCCACACTCGTTATTCCCCCTATAGGAAAAGTCACAGGGACCTATTTTGTACCGTGGGGCCAAGGTCACTGGATGTGGTCATGAGTGAGGCAAAGGCCCTGCTGTCACAGAGCTGATGTTCGAAAAGGGACAGACGAGCAATAAACGAGAAAATAAATGAGATAATTCCAGAGAGTGAAGACAGTGAAACACAATGATGGAGTGGGGGCCTCTTCCGTGAGGGGGTCAGGAAGGTGACACTTGAGCAGAGGCCTGAATGTCAGAAAACCAGCCATGCACAGATGTGAAGGCAGGGCCTTCGAGGCAGAGCAGAAGCAGAAGGAGAGAAGTGGGAATGAGCATGGCACGTTCTGGGAGCAGAACGCAGCCCCATGCAGCTGGAAGAGCCAGGGAGAGTATTGGGACCAGGGCGAGGGTTGGCAGGACCTCCTAGGACATGGCCTGGAGTTTATTCCAAGCACACTGGAAAGCCAGTGGAGGGCTCCAAGTCAGGAAGAAACATAAATATTACACAGCTCCGTGATAATTCCCCAGTAAGCAGAGAACTGCTGAGGCCTGGGCCCGTTTGTGTCTTGTTTCTCCAGTAGCCTCAGCCCTGAGCATGGGCCTGGCTCTGTTGCGGCTCCGTAAATACTTAGTACAGTGAAATCCCAGGGTTTCACTTAGGGCTCTGTTGATTGTAAGTGACAGGAAACCCAACCCACTTTGGCTTGAGCAAAAGAAAGAATTTGTTGGCTGGCATCACAGAAGAGTTGGGGAAGCAGGACCGGCACGCCTGGAAGCGGAAGCTTGAAAGCCGGCACTGGGTTCTGGTTTCCCCATCTCCCTGTGGCTGTGGTGCTGGGCTCTGTTCTGACATGTTTCCCCCTCGAGGAGGCCTGGTGCTGCAGTAGCTCCACCTGCTTTTCATCCAGGTTCAAGTCCAGAGGCCAAGAGCAAGTCTGTGTTCCTGCTAGTTCAAAAGAAGTTCTAGAATTTAGTCTCATTGGTCTTGATTGATCTAGGTAGGGTCATGTGCACCCTGGGCTGGTCACGGTTTTCTGGAAAATTCTTCCATTGACCAGGCCTGAGCAGGAAGTAGGATTAGCTCCATGGGAACTCAAGGACTAACCATGACTGGTGCTGCCCCTAAAATACAGAGGGGAAGTCAAAAGTCAGAAAGGGGTTAGTGGATGCCAGCTGTCTGGAAGGAAATAGATGTTCATTGTCCTCGGTCAACTGAAATCCAGGTGTGCCGGTTACTTGGTGTGGCAGATGGCTTACAGCCCCCTCAGCCATGTGCCTCTTCCCTGGCCAGGCCTGGGAGGTGCCATGTGTCTCCCTGTGGGCTCCCAGAGACACTCTCTCCTCCTCAGCTTCTGAGGCCAGCCTCCTGGCTCAGGCCTGTACTCTGCTTTACTCTTGTTCATTTGAGCCCAGAGCTGCCTTTTTATCAGCCAGGGCCTTTCCTGATAGCCTAGACCCGGTGAGAGCAGCAGATGAGCCCTTGTGGCATTTGCTTTAAGCATGCAGGGAGCAGGTACCACAGAAATGCAGAGTTTCACCTCTGGAGGCTTCGGCTCTGGCATCGGAATGCTCTGTGTCAAGATCATGTGGTTAAGAAGGACTCTGTGATCATTCCCTTCCTACACGCTCAAAAATCCTGTTTTGCAACATGGCTTACACTAATTATGTAAACAGGACTACAGGAGTAGGAAATAGTTAGAATAAACATACTTCAGGCACCTCAGAAGCACCCATTTACATACAAATGGCAGAAACCAGCAATTTCGTAATGAACTTTTAAATCTAATTTCAGTCGCTATGTGTATCTTTAATTATAAACTATCCTGTTGTAAAAAGATTCCATTTTTAACCAATTTAACCAATTTTAAGGAAAAGATATTTACCAGTATGTACCTTGATAAAACCAAAGCCTTTTTTCCTTTATATCACTTTGGAAATATGGCTATAGTTTTATTTCATCTTGGAGCAACAGTTCTCTTCCAGAGGAAGACAATTCCAGTGTTATTTTTAAGCAAAGAAAGAGAATTCAGTATTCAGAACTCTAAGCCACTTATTCTTCAAAGCGGGCACAGTTCTACGTGTTACTTTGCAAGGGTTTGGGATCGTCAGTTGGGGAAGATAGAAAGCTCACATTCCAAACAGCACCTCGAAAGCCTGGCAGCTAGAGGCCATGGCCCAGATGTGGAGAAATCAGTGCAGCTCACTGGAATCACTCATCTAAGAAGACAGGATTGTGGTTTTACATGGTTCCTGTGGTGTCCTGAGAAGCTTATTAGGGGTTCCCACAGAATAAGTCTTTCTCCATTTTTTGAAGAGATTATATTCCTCTACATCAGGTCCCAAAGATGCAGTTCTGTGGAGCAACTGGGAAGTTGGAAACTGAATATGGTGAACATGATCCCATCACTCTTCCTAGGAGCGTGGCTGTCTCCTCAGCACTCGAGAGTGTGTGGTGTAGTAGGGGTCAGGGCTGTGGTAACTGTGTGAGGGAAGTCACAGGAGAGCTTGTGCGGTGTCTGGGAAGCCCCTTGGTGTCCACTCCTAGTTGTGTGGTTTGTGGGACGAGTTTTGCAGTTTGAAGATGATTCCCAAACTGACCCTGAGAATGAGGCCGACGGCAGGTGACACACAGCTGGAAGAGGCTGTATCCTGAGATTGGGGTGTGTTAGAGAGTAGGGGGCTAATTCATCTCATGGTTAAAAACCAGCATCTCCCTATCTGTCTCTCCTAACTGCACAAAGGACTTGATGTGGATTATCACGTCATACTCTACAAGGAACTGGCAAAACAGAAAGAAGTTTGGAGAAGCAAGGAAAGTACCAGTTGGAGTAGGAAGGCAAGCTCGGGGAGGGTGACACAGGCGGCCTTGTCCTGAAGGCCTGCCTAGATGGAACAGGTCACCCTCATGTGAACTGTGATGCCCAGAGCACAAAGGAGGTGATGGAACCCATTTCATGTGGGCGGTGAGAATTGATTCCCTGGTGTTTGAGGCCATGACTCTTTTAAGTTAGTTGGTTTGCTTTGTCACTCAGGTAAATGCTTTGTGCTAACCAGAGCCATGAAGATTTCTCTTTTTTCCTAAAGGGAACTGAACAGCATGGGGATCTGGTATCGAATGGGCAGAGTACCAAGAAATCATGACTCATCTCAACCCACAACGCCTTCCCAGTCATCAGCTGCTTCCACCCCAGCCCCCAACCTTCCCAGGTGAGGCCTTGTTGGGGTGTCTTGTGTTGTCCTGTGGTCTTGGGTCCCTGCACAACATTTTAGAACACCACCAAGTGTCTGCTGGAATAGTGCAAAGGACAGCTGAACAACTGTAGAAGCAATATATCTTTAGAGGAGATTTTTAAAAATCCACTTGGAAATCTTTACATTACGTGAATGCAAAGGCCATTCTGTAGTCCATTTTGTACGTGTTCTGCAGGCTCCTAAAACTGCACATTATGCAACTTAAAATTGGCTTGCTATTCAAAAGAGCTGCTAGCTACACACAGACATGTGTTGTGTAGCCATGGAGTTGGGGGTCACTGGCCTTAAGGTCAAATTCCTTCTCTATCTTGGCCAGCAACTCATTTGCAACCCAGAAGGGTAGGTGAGTTCTTATATTCTTCATTTTCATATAATTTCTTTTTCTAATGATCTATAAACTAAGAAATGGGTAGTTTGGGTATGAGAGAATAGTGAGGAGTTTTTCAGGAAATGCTAGTTTTAATAATTGTCTCCACAAAGAAACTTGGGTGAGCCAACTGTTTGCTCTGCAACTGATTTCAGTTATAATAGAGGTAGTAACAGTCTCTACACTTTCTGCAAAAATAATCCTGTCAAATAAAAATCCTGTGCATCACTAGGAGTAAACTGAGGGCAAGGAACAAACAGCACTGATGGATTAAGCTTGAGAAAGGGACTGCAAAAGTAAAATAAAACAAGAACGGTGAGGCAGCAACACTTAGGGATTGATGTAATGTAAATGAGAATAGATCTCGAAGCTTCCATGTGGGTGAATAGAGATGAACAAAATCTGTCAGGAACCGGACAGAAGAGTCACCGGTGGGTCTTCCTGGGCCCTCCACGATACAGCCTGCCCTCCGGGACATGCCACCAGCTGTCTGTACTCTGTTGCTCTGTGCCAAGCCTCCGCCTCACTCCGGGAGAATGCGCTGTAATGAGGCCTGAAAGCCCTGAAGGACTGTGTCCTCTGGGACATCCCCCTATAAAGACATATCTGGTCTTCTGTGACAGTTTCATAAACCTAAGAGTAGTATTTAAACTTAACTACCCCTGGAATTGCCGGAACTTTAGAAGGAGTTTTCAGTTTCATTTGGCATAAAAAGTTAGAAATCGCTAATGAGCCTCCCAGAGTTCAGGGTGAACAGTTGAGTCTCTTTGTTAGTTCAGGAGTATGAGCTAGCACCGCGCATCAGCACTTGTTCCTCCGTTTCTGAGCGAGAGCACTGTCAGCTCCACCCGGAGGCACTGCCGAGGTCCACTGTCACTGTGTCAAAGGCTACTCCAGGTGTGTCACTGTGCTGGGGGGTCAGCTTAAGGCCATCACATTGTGTTGGGGTCCTCCATCACCTGTGCTGAGGCCAATCGCCTGCCTGTACTCGGTGCAGCGTCAGTTGGGGCTCCTGCAGAGCTGAAAGCCCCCAACAGAGCAGTTGCACACTGAAGTCGTTACAGCCTTGCTCCCTGGACATGACCATCATGTGCTTTAGACAGGGCCCCAGAAATGGGCCCCACCACCTCAAGGCAGGTTTTGCATCTTTTGTGAAAAGAGGCGAGCACCAGTTTTCCCAGATAAAAGCAGAGAAGTGCCTCGAAACCTGCCGGTCACGTGAGAGCAAGGCCACTTGCACCTGAAGCAAGGCGGCCCGAGAACACTGAGCCACCAGCAGCCTGGCAGGATTGCAGGGCAATGGCATCAGACCCAAGTGTTTATAAGCCTTACGTAACTTATCACCTCTGCCGTACCGTTTATGTTTACAATGGCCTGCAAGGAAATGATCAGTTTGTTTACTTGCCAAATAAAACAAATGTCAAAATAGTCAATATAAAATGTATTCTAATTGGCCTGAGTTAAGTCAGCCAGTATGCAGCAGATAATTGATGACATTAATGCTTCCAAGAAAAAACCACTTGTCGCTCCCAAAGTTGTCCTGTGCAGTAATTTACAGAGATGCACACCTATGTGAGCCTCGACCCATAAGGTTTTTTGGTTTTTGTGGATTTTTTTTTTTGGTAATTGTTTTCCTATCCAGTATCTTTGATTTTTTTAATGAAGTGATATTCATTCAAATTTTTCCATTGAAGACCAGCAAGGATGAGTATAAGCTGTTTATTCCCTGAG